TAGAGAATTCAAAAAAAATTAATTCAACACAAATCTGAAGGAGGTGAATCATTGGTCGTGTGATAAAATATTCGGAAAGCTGAAAGATTTCTCTTTTTTTAAAGGTTGATTCATTTTAAATATTAAACTGAACTTATGGGGAAAAAACTGAAAATCCCAGTTATCACTGCATGAGGATAGCAAACATCTGCGACATATAGTTTCTAATTTTATGAAAACAAGTTTACAATGTTTTTTTTACAATGAAATAAGTACATTATATTTCTGTAAAATGCATCTCATAAAAGTTCGATGGGAAAATAAAAAAATAAACATTGCATTACTTTATTGATATGCAATTAAAAATTATTTCCTTGAATGAATATACCATTCAACACCATCACTTTATATTTTCCTTGTTCGACCTGGAGTTTATATTACTTTTTACAAAATTAAGCAAATTTAATTTTACCGTGTGATGAAGTTATGTATCAATAGCTGGTCGCTAATTGAACACTTAATTTGATGATGTCATTTGGGGTACAGAACATGTCGGGACTAAGTGTGGATATTAGTGAAATCAAAGAATGAAAAAGGATATAAGCAGGCCGCTAATGATTAAGCTATTAATCACGACACCTGATTACAACTAGCCGATCTCTTGTGTAATACCGAAAAGAAAAAGGTTCCGACCCATTAATAATCATTCCATTCTACATTACAACAAGGGCCGGGCAGGCACTGTTACGCCCTCGGACCCACTCGTGTGTGATACATGATGGAAGTGTTAAGCTTCCCTGAAAAGTGCCAATGTGGATAGGAAAGGTGTGAAGTAAAATGTACAGAGTACATTTAGCTCCAAACATACAAGCCGAGAAAGACGAGGAAACAATGTATATTTCGGCTCAGTTTAATCAAGATAGCTTTGCCGACTGATATATACATTTATTTTAGGAGGGGGGGGGGGGGGGTAAGGAAATAAAAACTATGAACAAAAATTTTAAATAAAAACTTGAGTAGAATCTATGGATAAAAATTAAAAGGAATTTTGTTTAATGCAAAAGAACCATCAAAGCACGGGGTTCCTTAATTCTTAATTTCCTTGTAATTAATATTCACTATTGCGCACATTATTACTTTTGTAATAAATGAGAACATTTTTTTTTTGTAAACAAGCGGCTTAGCTCAGTGTTTATTTCTTAGAAGATAAAAAAAGAAACGGATGCAGTTTTAATGTACATTGAAAGCAATTTTTATTAGTCGATACACATGCTGGTCTAGAAGAAAATGCCGCATTTCTCTAGTTACAGTAGCGAAAACGACCGAAACGAAACTGATTTGCATTACATTGATATATTTAAGAATAACAAATATGCACTGTTCAAATATAGATAGACATTCTGCCGTGTTTATACTGAAAAATCGATATGTAATTTAGATGACCTTGAAATTTCAGCATTTGGTTGAATAAGCAAATCTACCCTCTCAAGTGTTTCAAGTCTTTAAAATGAACTTTATATGTTTTGGCTATCAGGAAAAAAAAAATACACGCAAATGTCTCCAATGTTGCGTGCAACCATGCCTATGCACTGCAACATAGATATCTGGGAAAACTTTTTTGAAATTATTGAGAATATAAAGGCGCTAACTGTGTAAGTGTATAATACAAATATTTGCATTTTCAGCCACTTGTTTTGGTTTCGTGTTTGTTTGCTTGTTTGATTTTTTTTTAATGTCTGAAGCATTTAATCTCCACATCGTCTTATATTGTTCTATGCACGTTGTCTGATGTTCTATTGTTTAGTATTTTGTTGTTGAACATTACAAACCAAAAATGTACCGCCCTTGAAATACATGACTGCAAGAAATTCTAAAATCAATATTGATATAATTATATGATTTATCTATTTATTTGTCTTAGATTACTCTCTAATCACCTGTATTCAACAATACATGTTAAAAATGCAATGCCTGTGGGGGAAAAGCAATACACACATTGACCTCAGGCACGATCATGTACACGTCCGCACAACACATCCCGATATCCATATTAAAAAAGAGACTGATTTCATTAATGCTGTCGTATGAAGATTGGTAATTAAGACTGAATGACTTTAAAAGAGAATCTATTTGGTTAGTTTATTAATCGGTTTCTTTCGGTGAAGTTTGGGTAGATTTTTTCTTTTGTATAACTGACAAAAAAAGTATGTAAACTTGAATCACATTCTAAATAAAAATTCTCTTTTAAAAACATTGGAAGTAAATTTTAGCCATTTGAGAGCTGACAACAAAGATTAGGGATTAATAAAACTCTTCCAAAGTTCATAAAATTTTGCCACGCTTTGTTTCGCTGTTATACCCAATGCGCTTGCAAGGTATTGGATTGTTTAACTTTACAAATGTCTTGTGCCTATAGCTTTAGAGAACGTGACCGTACCCTGATTAAATTCCGTGTTGACATTGTTGTTTAGCTAAATGAAAAAAAAAACTTGTTTGTCGATCCAGGGTGCTGGAATTCCCGCATTTAAAGTACCTACCATTACCCGCCAAATAATTTAAAGATATGTTTGAGCTAATTGGAGTAAAATTTGAAATCACATATTTCATTCAAATTTACGTGTAATTATGTATTGCACGAGGCAATTTTTAAACATAAAAGCTTAATTGAAGTTTCTTTGCCACTATTCAAAAACATTTTTTTTTTTTTTACATATTAATGTGCCATTAATAACTAGGTCAATGTTCTTATTTACATGATAATAACAGAAACACAAAAATCCACTGCGAAGGAAAAAAATTAATTTTATGATCTGATAAAAAAGTTTATATCAATTCCTGAAATGTGCAACTTTTTTGCAATTATTGAATCTACGAAATGAAATATTACTCGAATTTATTTATTTATTTATTTTTTTATTTTTGATAAATACTTTCCTAAATTTTCTTTACTATGTTTAGTAAGAAGTGAATAAAGAATATTCTTTGCGCAGAAACATTAACTGAAAATAAAGTTTGTAACACGAGCTTACAACAAATACAGATTAAACCAACTTTAGCTAAATCCTTTAAAACCCGAAGGTGTTTCCCTAAATAAGTCTTACAAATTCTATTTTTGTAGTCTCTGACCTTGGTCAGTTCTCGGGTATTCCGATCCGCGGTTTACCTGGAAAAGCCAAAAGGTCATTATAACTACACGACCAGGTTACAATCCATTGAAATCGGTCGTGATTATCAATTAAATATATCTTTAGTTGAAACATACCAATGTATTCATGGAGAACACGGTACTTTCACTAATTACTAGTATATAATATATTAGTTTTATTTCATTGAAAAATTCATCAATTGAAACATGTAATTTTGTGTCTAAAATTATTTTCTGTAAACTTTCGAAATTTTATTCTCTGAAAAAAGTAAAAACCTTTGAGAAAAGAGTATTTGCATTTCGAATAACCATAGTAACATATTTGTCACTAATGACGGCAATAAAAAATGTATATTCTAATTGATTTTCCCCCAACATTTCTGGAGAGGAAAAAAAAGCAGAGATGTCTGGTCAAATATCGATTAATTCAAATGCACGACAAAAATACTTCAACGGTCTTAACCATCCTTCAGTGTGCAAAAGCTCTTATACAATAAATATATGCTTTAATCTTATTTTACTGCTATCTGTGGCTAGGTTTACGATCGTCGTACAGTATATCGGATGACAGGGCTAGCCGACTACAGTAGACAATACTCTATATTCACACACAACGTTAACTCTTTACAAATGACCTAAATTTGTTACTCCAAGTCGCATTAGAGCGTCACATCGCAGCTAGCCAATCCGCGAATACCATCTGTATTCGGTGATTCCCCTGCTCTCCACAGTGAATATAGAGTTTTATAAAGAGAGAACGGCGATCAATGATAGACCACGTGACTTTAGTATTATTTATCTACACCAAGTAAAGCGAATACACAATATAACTAAATAAGATGTGGAGTTAAACACATCGAAAATAAATAATAAGAGAAAATTTAATTTGCAACAAATGTGGCACTGAAAATTTGTGTGTGCATGTGCAAGTGCTACTGGATTTCTGCATCTGATATTTTTATAAGGATTTCATTTAAATTTTAATTTTAATTCAGGTGAGAATTTTTTTTCTTTTACTTAATTGCAAGTGCAGAAGAACTGGATTTTTTCCTTTTAACATTAAAACGAGAGATAAAACTGGACTTTTATTCATGTTGTTAAACAGTGTTGTGCAACGTTCTATTGCAATGCAGCAATTCGTGATTGATTATATTTTGTATCTTTGTAAGCAAGATGTTACATTCATAATATTGCAGGATTTTTTTAAAAACATCCTTGGTGTCACGTTCAGTTATAGTTGATAAATTAAGGAGATACACATGACATTTTTATTTTTGCCACCCGTATCACAAAAAATTACGCAGATATTACCTATAAAATTGTCCCTTTCTTGTAGTATTACGCTATTATGGACTTAAAAATACATAAACTGCACATAAAGACTTCGGGGTATTTTCTAAAGTTATGTAAGGGCATATAGGATTTGTAGATTTTTAGATTTGGTTTCCAAATTATGGGTAGAATATGGCTGTCAAAACATCCATCATACCTCCAGTTATGGGTGGAACATGATTTCTACGGTACTATTCCACAGTTATGGCCAAAAGCAATTTGGCTCCAACTCGAATTTACGATATTGATATTTCAGCTTCATATAAATTCCCCGGGGTGGTAGAACACATGTAAGCATGTATTTTGACGGCAAATATTGTGACGATATTTGTTGACAGTGTAGGCCCAGCCCACCGTCTTTCGGGGTGCTTGATCCTTATTGGTTATTAATGATGACCGGTGCATCAAGGGTCGGGGTGCACATATAAGGTGTGATCTAACACCAAGGACTAATTACAAAATATCTGGCACCTCGACCAGACACCACAGACATAATCTTATTCATAGTTGAGGACTACACTTGTTAGAATTATACACAAACTTCATTTAGTACACTACCATGGATAGTCTGATGGAGAACTTGGAATATTTTCATTTCAGATCCGCATTTGACGATATAGAATACATAACCGTTTTGTCTGCAGACGATATTATTGAAATGTCCTGTCCTACACAAGCTGTAAGTATTGTTCTAATTCTCGGTTTTGAAAATTAATGCGATTTTTTAAAAAATTGAAAAAAATAGAGTTGTTCATAATGATAGAAGCTCAAACTTTCAATCTTTTTTTAACAGTTACCGGACACCTTTCCGCACGATTTAACGGAGTCAGAAATCTCATTCTACTCTAACGACAATATGGACGTTAAGAGCGAGCTAGTCAGCGAACCTACAACCCCACAAGAATCGATCCCGACAACTGTAAGCCGAGCCTCCTTCTCAGACATCATTCTCAGACAAGGTAAGTCCCGCTAACACGGCAGCTCAACAGGCACTAATGCATTAAACCAGCTTAATAAATTACTCTGGACATACAAAATTGTCAAGTTTTCCATAAGAAGTAGCTTCGTGATTAATTAAATGAAAATACGGATTATCTTTTAGATACAGCGACATGCTCAGAAAACATGGACATGACAAGCTGGACGCAAAAACATCCACAGAACTGGAGCACACTAGAAGTACTAGATTGGTTATACTATGTGGCAGAGGCCAGAAATCTCGATGTTGCAAAACTACGTGGAGAGCAATTCAATTCTGTAACAGGAAAAGAACTCTGTGAAATGACTCTTAGCAAATTCATTGAACGCGACCCAGAGTATGGTCAACAGTTTTATGAAATGTTCAGAAGATTGGTGAATGAAGCTCAGTTTATTACGCCACAGCAAAGTGAAGCAAACCCTGAAACCTCCACCCAATTTGCTGAACTCGTCAAAGCTCTACTCTCCACCTCAACAGAAGATTGTATGGACATCAGCGATGAGTCAACAAGCAGTAAGTATCATTCTGTCCAAAAAAATCAGACATGCCATCAATTTTGCATGAAATAAAAACATACAGTTTTACGACAGTTGAATCACTCTTGTATTTGTTTTAGAAATGTTAGACAACAACCTAATGACAGTGTTTGACACCACCGAGGGTACCTCCAAAGTCAATATTGGTGGTGAATGGTACGACATTGACGATGATCCATCACTGTTCCCGTCTGACACGCCCTGCCCGAACTGGACCGACCCAGGCTACATAAGCGGAGGTAAGGGAAAACATAGACAAAACACTTACATGTCAATAGGTATTTGAAAGCTGTGCAAAAGTGAAGTGATCAGGAAAAAGTTTAAAGTGTCCTTGTCAATATGGACCTGATTGTCATTTTCTGAAATGTTTTTCCTTGTTTAGATTCAGAAATTGGAAGTGATCAAGGTCAGAATGACATGTCCCTAAGCGTGTTCTCAGACGAAGAAATGACCGAGATTACAGGTCCGTCCAAAAAGAAACCCGTCAATAGAAAAAGGAATTCCTCCAGTGTCTCAAATGACAGCGGCATTATTGAACATGAGCAAGAGGGCGAGAAAAAGAAATGCAACAGAGGACGAAAAGTTGGGCAATGTAAGCACAAAAACAATCATCAATTTCTAAAACCCCTGATATATGCAAAAATTTAAGTTCAAAATTTATTTCCACGTGTAATATTGTAATTTTTCCTCTTGCAGCTTCAAAAGGAAATCATTTATGGGAATTCATCCGTGATTTGCTAAAAGATTCCGCCTTCAACCCTACCCTGCTTCGCTGGGAGGATAAAGAAACCGGAGTGTTCCGGTTTGTGCAGTCGGAGGCTGTTGCTCAGATGTGGGGTCGCAAGAAGAACAACACGAGCATGACGTACGAGAAACTGAGCCGTGCAATGAGGTAAATAAATACCAAAACATGTTTTTGTTCCATGGGTGTCGTTTTCATTTGTCCAGCATTTATACATGTAAATCTTAGGCATGGTTAAAGCTGGGATTTAGATTCTTTATGAATGCATGGGTTTTGGTAACAGTAAAATGTTGTGTAAATTCATGTCCTTTGTATCGTTTTGCATGATCTTGTATAAGAATTGAGATAGAGAAAACTCCCATTTCATTGCGCACTAGAGATCCAAGAATGTTTTGTGAAAAAGAAACTTAATCCTCATTTTTGATCGACAGGTTTTGCAGATCAGCAGGCTATTTTGCAGACGTACCCAAAAACGGCAAATTTCCAAAGAAATTATGCTTCCGTTTCGGGCAAAAGGCTCACGGGTGGAAAGACCTGTAGACATGCTTAGGTTAATAATTTTTATGTTCGTTGTTTGCGCACTAACAGCTACTTGCTTGAAAACTGCTTCAGTCACTTCGTCTTCTGTGTTTCTCTTCTTTTCCAGTGACCACTATTGATTGCCACTTTTCCTTTCCTCTTGCATGCAGTGTCTTTTATATTAATTTTCTCCTTTTTTAGATTATACTTCCTAATTGAAACTGTTGTTTTTCCTCTGTTTTAACAATATTCACTCATTTTTTTCTGCTCAGCTTACACACAAAAAAAATTTATAACAATATTTCTATTTCATTTCTTATTTTAACTATTTTTTCTGTTTTTATTTCGTTTGATTTCACCACTAACATATTGTCGTCAAAATGATTTTTTAAATAAGTTTAAATCAAATTAGAATTAAATAAGAGATTTTATTTTTCATATATATTTAATTGAAGAAAATGGATTTTACTTGTATTTTTGTTTTTCTTTGAACAGATATTACTACAAGCGCGGGATCCTCGATCGCGTAGATGGCAGACGCTTGGTCTATAAGTTTGGACCAAACTCTCATGGTTGGAAAGATTGAAAGTTGGTGCAAAGAACTGACAAAAGACACCCTCGGTGCCTACACCATGCTATCGCCCTCGAACTGACGTGAAGAGACATGCGCCATATCTGACACAGTGACGAGTTATGTCGCGCAAGCGCAGAGGAACTACAAAAAAAATCCTACGTGGTAGAAACGAAAACCCCCAGTGCTGATATGATTCCAAAGTTATTGTTGTATATGTGTTCATCTCAAAATGTGTATCATATCATTAACCATACAAGATATTCACTGTATATTTAAGTTTATATCGACTCACGAGAGCCAAAAATACAACACACACTAAGGCAGCTATTGGATGAATTCATATATCAACTTGTATGTTGAGAGAAAACTATTTGTCAAATCCACTCTCTGATACAAGTTACTGTTTAAATTACTTAAGAAACTACTATGATGATCTCTCTTATAAAGTGACATTTCAAGCAAAATCCAAAAAAATCTGACAAGGAACTGAAACTGATCCTGAGGAGATTGCGAGTCGATGTGCTCGTTATAATATCCACAAAAAAGTCCCACCATGTGCTACAGCTGATGTTTAATTTATTGTGTAATTTATTTATTTAATTTGACATTTATGTATTGATTGTTGAAATCTATTTTTGTACATTTGTAATAAAAAAAAAGTGAGACTTGATTAGAAATTGTTTTCTTTTTTTGCGACCCAAGAAAGGTAACTCCTAGCATTAATTGAATAGACCGAGCCTGACATTTTTCATTTGCGTATTGAATTAACATGTCAAGGCAATAAAATACTAATACTATTGATATAAACTTTATTTTTTAATATTATAAAATGAATTATAATATTTATGCTAGCAGTGGAGGCCAGATGAAAGGAATGCTAGCGCTAAGTTGATGAACAAACGTCAGTACTCAATGTCGAGAATATCTTTAATGAGAATTAAATGTACATGTACTTAAAAAATTAAAACTCTAAATAGATTTGAAAACATTAATTTGAAATCTTATTTGCATTCGTTTTTCATATGAAATACACATGAATTATATATGTTCGTTTTTAAATCGCCTCTGTCCTATTGATACCTTTCCTACTCATCGATCTACATGTAGCTATAGTTCATATACATTGTGTCTTTCTGTTGGATCTTGTTCGAAGTGCTGGTCATCAGTTTCGAAATCTCATGTGAAATATCGCAAGAATACCGAGGCTAGATTTGATTTTGTTGTAATGAAAAGACTATCAGAATACTCTTGACACAAGTTTTTATTTATTTATTTATTTTTTATCTATTTTTTATAACATCTTTTTAGCTTCGAATACAGATATTTTATTCTATTTCTAAAACACTTGAGTTTCAAGAATGTATGAGATTAGATGTATAAAGATTAAAAAGTATTTATATCAAGAGGTTTTTTTTCCCTACCCCCCCCCCCCTCCCGAGATATAACGTTTGAAAAAATCATTCAACGCAAATGATTCACAAGAGAAGCTTTGTCCATGGTGATGGCCAATTTACTTTTCCTTTCACGTTCCACAAATAAGCATAAGCAATAACCAAATTGCGTAGTTTAAATAATATACGTTAAGGAGAGCATTTTCTTACAGGGTTTTAACGGCCATTTCTAATGAAACATTGCTTGAATAAGAGCATATTCATTTTGAAGCTTGGAACGCAAACAGCTAAACAAACGTTTGGACACTTACTGGGTGTTGCGATTAGACACCCCCCCCCCCTCCCGGTCGCTTTTTTCCTGTATAAGGACAGAGAAGGTTACCAAAAGTATGACTCCTCGATCATGAAACAAACACATGAATAATTCCTCACGAAACAATTATCTTTAGTATGTAACAATTCCATAAACAGGGGCTTATTGATATTCTAATTATGAGTAATAAAAGATTTTGACATGTATAAAGGTGTATGATTTTAAACACTCCAAGTGTGTACACTTTAACGGGTAAGGGATTATCTAGTAGAAATATCCCTCACAATATCATTCTTCTTTTTTTATCAAATCTTTTTATCAAATTTTTATCAAATCTTTATTATACAGGGGTGGTGTGGGTAGGGGTGTAGGTCACCACCTTTTTATTTTTTCTCACCCATGTTATCTCCTTTAATGCCTACTCCATCCCCTTCTTTTCCTCTCTCCATCTCCCTTTCTCCAATCTGTTATTTACTGGGTCTACCCCCTCCACACTCACACGAAGTGCAAGAATGCAAAAGCGGCGTAAGATTTAATTACTAGACCTTTACGGAAGAAAAAAAAATATGTATATCTCAGTATATATTTACATTTGTTTGAGCTATAATAAATTGAAAAAAAAAATACATAAGCACATTAAGTCCTATAATGAATAATATCAGCGACCGATTTATTTGGTATTTAAGTTTGCTAGGGTAACATAAAGATACTGAAAAGTTGCTCTCCATCAAAAACATTCATGCATTTTATTATGTATTGACTACAGTTTCCGATACATGACTGGAAATGATTTTTAGTGTATTTTTAAAATATTTCAATAATAAAACTGAAGAATTTTTTTTTAGAAGACCCGATTTATAAATGTTAAACCAATGACCAAAATAAATTTAAAAAAAAATAGATTAAAAATAATTGATTAATGAGAAGTTGATCTTATTGTAAAATAAAAGAAAAAATATTCATCAATTTACAGATAAAGTAATAAGTAGTTTATGTATGTAAATTTGTAAAATAAATAATCCCCTATTCTATCATTACTGTAAGCTATGGATTGTGAAAATAGCGGCGATCTCAAAGAAAATAGAACAAGCCACTTCTCGCGAACTGTGTTAAACCGAGGACTAGAGGCATCAAATGTACACAAATCATTTTAAAATAAAACTTTAATCTAGTAATCATTAAAAAGCTATTTACACTTAAGGTTTTGGATTATCATTGTTTGTTTAGATATTATCAGATCAAATGACATAAATCATACATAAATAAATACAAACAGGTTTCATACATTTATTTACAATTATATTTCTCAATAAAGATTTGTCTGAATTTTCTTAATAACGCCTTCAAAGAACGATTTTCCTTTTAATATGATGAATTGTTTAATCAAGGGGTGCCATAAATTATTTGAATTTTTCTTTTTGTAATTTTTTAATGAAGAGAAATACAACCGATAATATGTATTTAATTCTCTTGTTGTATCCCCCCCCCAAATTAAATTCAAAATTTCCAAGATAGATTGCACAAACGTAAATCTACACTTCTTGAAGATGTTGCATATAAGTTGAGCAATTTGTAGCCTTGTTAGTCTTAAGATTTTAAAGGATTTTTCCTTCACATTTTTTTTAAGTTGACTGCCTTTGCCATTTCTGCTCAAGGGACCAAGGCGCTGATACGCTGTAATCTATACTAATTGTGAATGCATGCATTTAATTTGAAGCCTTGTAGTATTTGCTTTTCAATTGTAGACTCCGGACCCTCTTTATGGCCAAGTACTAGTCCTAATCGCAGACTCCGTCTGTGAAGCAAACTTAAATCTTCACCATAAAGAATACTTAAACATCTTTTCAGTGGTACTTTAGTAAAAGTTTATGATAACCCTATCTTATTTTTGCTTTATTTCTTAATCAGCTTCCCTCCGAAAGGAATATGGACCTTTATCTGAACAAGCTTGCATCTCCATCACTCAATGATGTATTAAAGCAAGTTTGGAAGAAATTGGCTCAGCAAAAAAAAAAAAAAAAAAAAAAAAAAAAAGAAAGAAAGAAAGAAAGAAAGAAAAGAAAAGAAAAACAGTGAAAAATGGACGGAAGAGATAGCAACAAATCATAGAGTGACTCATCAGACAAACATATACCATGATCAGTGTCACTATCAATTAAATAAACACAGTTTCATTTGTTTTAAGCAGGACAAAAATATACACTAGCAATTGAATTTCAGTTCAAAATTTAATTCTTGCCAGATTTGTATGAGACGACAATGAATTGTGTTCAGTTTACCAGTGACACTAACTGAGATGTGAGCGACAATACTGAATAGTCATTACGGAAACCATAACAAATTTAAATAGAATGGGAACGGAGGCCACTTAATGTACACTATTGACTGATATTTAAAAAAATCCTCTCATTTTTTCAAGAATGCATGCTGGCTCAATAAATGATAGTGATCGTTAAGTACACGACCATAAACAAGACACAAGTGTTGTTTTTTATTAGCTAAAATAGTTCTGTGTCTTCATAAACTAACCATAAGTTAGTTAAAAATATACCATATTATCCTATAAATGCACTTGAATGTTAGAATACTCTCTTTTATGTTAGTACACCCTTTTTAATGCAATAAAGAAATCGATGTTAACGCCTGTCTTGTTACGTAATATATACTTTTGTAGATAGATGTTTGAAGTCTAGTCCTTGAATATGAAGGAAGCTTTGCTTTTAATTATATTTGTATCTAAATATTCTGCATTACGGCGTATTTAAAACTTAAATTCTTTTTTCAGTTTGGGTTCTTAGTTCGGTCAGATTAAATGACGATGGCTGCGATTAGTCTTTACCCAAAATTGAAAGAAGAAACAATTCACCAACAAAGTATAAAATAAGAAAATCAGCATACAGTAAGATGATCAAAATATTGTATCCTAATTCATCAACACCTGAAACTGTGAGTAGCATGACCCACAAAATAGATGAACTGTTTCTTTCACCATGTGCAATTCAAATACTGGGAACATTTCATCATAATCTATCTCTATGAGAAGTTAGAAGATAAACAGAATAGGTAACCCTTATCAGAGACAAACGTATATCATGTTAAGGCCAAGAGAACCAATGATAGCCTTTTCACTTATTTACCCATGGGAATGCTGGAACTTTATACTCAGGCCAAGCTCGACAGAGCAGCAAAACAGATGAAAGTACCTTAATTTGTATTAAAAACAAAACAAAACAAAAAAAAAAACTATCAGTAATTCAGTTATTTTTTGGTGAACTATTGTGGGTTAGAAATGTTTGGAAGCCTTTAGTATCAGGTTAAAAAAACAAGATGCGTTTGTGAAACACTGATGCCCCATATGGAAGCTCAAGGCCAAGGTAAAAGTTTTTCAAAGGTAAGTCAAATGTCAAGGCCAAGAGTTTAAAAATGTTGGTACCCAAAGAAAGGTCTAGTCGCAAGGAATACACATTTGAAATGTGAAAACACTAACACCAACCATTTAGAAAATATGACCAAGGTTAAAGTTTTTCAAAAGTAGGTCATACTCCAAGATCAAGGTCATGAAGTCAAAAATGTTGATACCCAAAGAAAGGTTTTGTCCCAATAAGTACACATGTGGTACTAGAAAGCCCTAGCACCAACCGTTCAAATATTATGGCCAAGGTTAATATTTTTCAGAAGTAGGTTAAACTTCAAGGTCAAGGTAAAAAATGATGGTACTGTAAAAAGGTCTGTACATATATGAAATATAAAAGCCCTTATATCACTCGTTCAAAAGTTATGGGGTTAAAGATTAACAGACAAACAGACAGACAGACGGACAAAACCTTTCTATGGGTACTTACCGGTACATGTATTTGACTTCTAGACCTTGGAGTTTGAACTACTTTTGCAAAATTTTATCAAACTTTAACCTAGGCCATAATTTTTGAAGAGTTTGTACTAGGGC